ATCAACATCAATAGATACAATTTTAAAAGAAAAATCAATTAATACTTTATTTTAGTGGCAAATGCCTGGCTCTATATTTCAAGAGGTTACAGGGAAAGCAAACCTAAATGAACAGTTCTCAGTGAGGTCCCTGGACCAACAGCATTAACATCAGTTGGGATCTTCCTAGAAATGCAAATTCTGAGGTCCCACTCCAGACCTATCAGTTTGGGGGAGGGGAGATGGAATGGACTAGTAATCTGTGATTTATTAATCCTTATAGGGGATTTTGATGCTAATTGAAATGTGGGACCCATTGACTTAGCTAGATTAACAAATCAAGTAGATGATGAACCAGGGTTTTTTTAGGGTTATTGGTAGGGAAGTGTCATAAGTGAGATCCAGTTCACAACCATACAGGGGCCACAGTTGAAGGGTTAACTAAGAGAATACAAAAAGCTTCCATCTGTTGCCAGAGGGAAGGTGGGTGGGAGGTTGGGCAAAATAGGTAAAGGGGATTAAGAGTACACTTATCATGATGAGCACTGAGTAATGTATAGAAGTGTTGAATCACTATATTGCATACCTTAATTAATATAACATTGTATGTTAACTATACTGGAATTAAAAACAAAACAAAACAAAAAAACCCTCTAATCTCCCCTAAACATTGCCTTCTCTATACTAAAAGATACTCTCCCCTTTTACTTGAGTTAGAATCTCAACCCAAAATCTTGCTTTGATTAAATAAATAATAAAGGGGAGACACTGCATCAACATGAGGTTTCCTGCAGTTGGGACAAAGATGCCTCGGGCACAGGGATATAGGCAGCAACAGCTGAAAATCTGCTGGAGCTCATGAGGAGGTCAAGTGAAGAAGACAGGCCCTGAGAGTGTTAGCTGCACCCACTGTGCCCCCCGATATGAGACTGGCAGTGTGCCCTTGACACTGGTCTATCAGCATCCTTTGCATCAGATTAGCAAGCACCAACTTGGCAACTGCGGCACCAGGCAGTGCCTCTGCTAAAGAAATCCCTAGAAATTGTTATTCTTTTCAGTCGAGTGACAGGATTATGGACACGAGGATGCTACATTCACAGACTCAGGTAGGCAGTAGAGCTAGGGAGAATGGTTGCTTATGATGGGAATATATTGCCCCAGGGAAACTAGGATGAGGAGGAAAGTGGAAGCAAACATCGAAGGCAGTAACATCACAGTGCTCCTGAGAGCACTTCCAGGAAACTACCCCCACCTACAGGAAAGGAGAGCAACATCCTGTTGTACCCAGGATGAGTACAACACACCCTCTGTGCACAGGCCACACAACCATACATGCAGAAACAAGTCGGATATGACTCGGGCAGTTTGTGGCTGAACCAGGATTTGAACACAACAGCAGAATCCATTTGTCCATTCAAATTTTCTTTATTTTGATTTGCTTAGGACTTTTCTTTAAACATTCACTTAATTTTTCTTTTTTTGATCACTTATCTTTCTTCAGCCTCATCCTTAACTATAGTATCAGGGAGATCACTGGTTTGAGATCACACTTCTATTTTTTTCTAAAAGACACGGGAAGAAGTGCAGAATTGTTTTCTAAGAGCTAGTCCGGAATATCTCAAATACCTTGAGTGGTAAGCAGGCACTATTTTGGCAAAGCCAACTCTATGATTTGCTTTCTTTCTGTTACCTCAATGATGTACAGAAGAGGACAGGGTTCTCAAACTTTAGCTTGAGTAAGAATAGATGGTGGAACATTCTAAAAATACACATATAGCTGAGCCTGATCCCCATCCCTAGAAACTTGGATTGAGAAGGACCCCCCCACCCCAGTAAGATCTTCAAAACTGAATTTTTTAATGTCTTTCAGGTGACACTAATGAAGTAGCTTCAGAGAACTGTAGAGGAACACTTCCATAGGGCAACATCTTTGGAGTAGTTTGAGAGAATCCTTCAGGTAAATACCCAGATAGAAAATTGCTCCTGACCCTTAAAATTTAATTAGCTGTTTAAAAACCAGAGCTGCTGAGGAAGTATCTTCCACAAGCGTGTAGGGGGATGATGACAAAATGCCCAAAGCTTGAGAGCTACCAACAGAGCCTTCTCAGAATCCCGTGGGCTCAGGAACATGAATCTGGGGAGAAGTACAGAGAGTTTTTCTCAAGAAAGCCAGAGCCATGAAGGATTAGGTGGGACATTACAAGACTCAAGGGTTCATGAGCCCCAAATTTGAGCCACTCTGCAGCAAACAGAACAGACTGTGTTTCCCATGTTTCCCCACTGAGGAATTTTGTGATGATGCGGACACTCCTGATGAAAATGGAGACTTGAGGAACATTAGCTTTGATACTTAAGCTGCCCATTGAACATACTTCCTATATTTTCTGTTATTTATATTACTTGAAGCTGTCTTTTGTTCAGAGAGCTTCTGAGGGAAGAGGTTGTAGGGATAACAAGGAGGGAAAGGGATTCTGCATTGCCATGCAGGGGGGAACGTATCATTGAATGGGAGTGGGACCTTCAACTAGGGACAGGAATCAGGAAGAGGAGGTCACTGGTACCTTTCCATGCTTGGAAGAGATACATATATTTAGAGAGGTTTTTTGAACAGGATTGATAGGAACTGGTAGAGTATGCTACAGTTATTTTTCTTCCCTTCTCTCTCTTCAAAAAATGACTTTTTTTTTTTTTTTTTTGCTTTAACGTCCCATTTACTTAGCCAGTGTGGCTTCTGAGGTGATTTTATAAGATTACAGGCAAAAGTCAGGCAAAGGGGGGAGGCTGTTTTCAGCAGTCAGAACTCCAGGAGATGTTTTCTGTAGGTAACAAACATCTCTCAACCTTGACAAAACTTGATTACAATAGTTTAGTACTAAACACAATGTCAGAACAGATCTTCGTCCCTGAGGTGATGAGACTTGAACCTTCTCTCCCAGCCCCTTCTCCACACTGCAACAAGGTGTAACGGCTACCATCTAAACAGACAGTGAGAAGATTCTCCAGCTTACAGCATGATATTTTTGCTCCAAAAGATGCATGAGGAGGAGGCATCCAGCAAGTAAACTGAGTCATGCAGAAGGACTTTGGAAATCATCTAGTTCCGCCCTGGGAATAATTGCGTATCTCTTGTCAGGGATACATAAGCTTGGATGTGTTTACGTGATCTGAATCTTTAAAAAGCAAACACTCTCAATTATGTATACACATCCAAATTCGGTTTACTCTCTTGAGGTCAAGGAAAATGTCCAGTTTCTGGAGGGCAAGGTATATGGATATCAAGCACTCATGCCATCTCAGGGTCTAGCTGAGTTTATTTGCAGAGCAAGCAACTGGTGACTTCTCACCTGATTACAGGACTGGTTGATTAACTGACTAAATCAAGGTAAATGAAGCAAGGTGGAAGATCCATGACCAACCATGATGTCAAATCAAATCGGGATTTATTTTGTATTGACAAAGAAGAAAAAATAAAGAGACTAATAGGGGCCTGGGTGGCTTAATCAGTTGAGCCTCTGCCTTCGACTCTGGTCATGATCCTGGGGGTCCTGGGACCAAGCTCCATATCAGGCTTCCCTGCTTCTCCCTCTCCCTCTGCTCCTTCCCCACCCCTGCTCATACTCTCTCTCAAATAAATAAATAACATCCTTAAAAAAATAAATAGAAAAACTAAAATCCTGGGTTTTAGTTAATTCACCCAATAAACATCTATTGAACAACTAATGGTAGGATTATGGATTTCATAATAGGATTAATAGGTAGGATTTCATAATAGGATTTCAAACACCTTGTCTCTTATTCTGGTTGAGGAAGTAGATGATACCATTGTGAACAAATGAAAAATATCTTACAGTGATAAATGCTCTGAAATAAACTAAGCCGAGGTAACAGAGGAGGGCAGTGTGCCAATGGTGGTCAAGGAGATGACATTTGAGTGGTAGAAGCTGGCCAGGGACAGAGATGAAGGTAGGGAATTCCAGATAGAAGGAACATGAAGTATGAAGTACTTGAGGTTACAAAGAATGAATGCCATTTAGACTGAGACAGGGCAAAAGTTAGGTTTGAAGTAACCTGATGATACAGAGCAGAGGTGAGCAAACTCGTCCATTGCTTATTTTTGTAAATAAAGTGTTACTGGACCCGACCTTGCCCATTTATTTACATACTGTCTATGGCTGCTTTCATGCCACAGTAGTAGAGCAGGTGGGACTGCCGGGAATGGTCAGCAGTCCCTGTACCCACAGATGAAAGATTACTCCAAATTTTGCTGCGAAAGAGAGCAGAAGGTAAGGGGGTCAATGCTCAGAGAGGAAGACACTTTGCTCTTCATTGCTCCTGCTTTTATTGGTCCATCAGGATAATCACAAATCCTTATCCCTACAGCCCAAGCACTCGATGTGTTACAAGGGGTCTTACTGGAACTAGGAGAATCTGTTGATATGCTAATCTGCATGGTCTATTAGTAGTGCTAAAGGAAGCCTAAGGGACAATGCAAATGTCTCTGTTTGGGCTTAACTGTTTGGGCTAAGAAAGCTTGGGGAAGACAACTCCCCAAGGCATTCCTAGGGCAGAGTGGGTGGACTGGTCATGCAGGCCTCTGCATTCCAAACACCTATGCCTTTCTCTGAAACCTTCCATTGCTGCCAGCGGCTTTCCTGTTACATTTCACCAGGCCAGATACTATGGATGATTTCATGCTCCACAGTAATGCCAACATGTGACAGAGACTGGCTGGCCCACAAAGCCTAAGCTATTTCTCATCTGCCCTTTATAGAAAGGCTATGCATCCCTACTGTAGGGCCTGCTTAACGTGGCACAGAGCTTGGATTTTATTTTGCATTCAAGCAATAGCTAATAGAAGACTTTGAGTTGGCTAGCAATAGAGTCTGCCTGACTCTCCCCAGAATACCATGTGGCAAATGGATTACGGGGTCACAAGTAAGGAAGCAGGGAGACAAGTTCAAAGTCACCTGCACTATGTCAATAAAAGGAATGACTTGTATTATAATTGCATAATGAGTGAAACCCCAGTGGCCTAATGGATAAGTCACTGGCCTCCTAAGCCAGGAATTGTGGGTTCGAGTCCCATCTGGGGTGAGGTAGTTTACTTGTAGAGATACTTGGGGTGCCTGGGTGGCTCAGTTGTTAAGCATCTGTGTTTGGCTCAGGTCATGATCCCAGGGTCCTGGGATCGAGCCCCACATCAGACTCCCTGCTCTCTCCCTCTGCTCCTCATCTCTGCTTGTGCGCACTTGCTCTCTCTCTCTCTCTCTCTCTAATAAATAAATAAATAAATAATCTCTATAATTGCATAATGAAGGTAATAAAAGTGACTGGGTTCCAGATATATTTGGGAGATAGCATTTACTAAGAATAATTTATCACATTGTTTATAAGAATAATTAGAATCTTGAGTTTATGAAATGACTTTGAGATTTTGGCTTAACAAAATTACATAGGATGTGACATTTAATGAGAAGAGGGCACGAGAATCAGGCTGAAGATGAGTGACAAGTCAAAAGCACTGTTTTCAACACGGGCTTCACATGCCTATTAAGTATCTCTGTGAAATGTATCATAGACAATTTGCTACTTGACTCTGGGCCTAGGGGAGAGGTCAGGGTTGGAGATACAAATTTGGGAATCATAGTGTATATCTGCTTGGAAAGCCATGGGGCTAAAGAAGACCACATAAGGTGAGAGAGGGTCCAGCATGAAGACCCAGGGCACACCAACATTTCAACTTCAGACAGGTGATGCAGAGCCAGGAAAAGAGAATGAAAAGGAGCAACAAGTGAGAGTAGAGATTATACCAGTTATCTATATTGGTCTCTCTTTAAGCTCACCCTTGTATACCCTGCTTTTTGACTTGGGGCTAAGACCAGCGTTCCCTCTCTGCCCCAGCTCTCTGCTGGGCTCTGCCCCTAGGGGGCACTACAGGCAGCATGTGAGGCAGAGGGAGTCAGAAAGGGATTTGGGTTTCTTTATCCCTGAGCCTCATCATTGGGTAGTGTCCTTTCTTCACCCTGGCAATGGCAGGACTTTTTCTTAGCAGCAGTTTATTTTCACAATATTCACAAGTCTCATAGCATCCCACTGGGCGACTCCAACACCAGCACCAAGCGCAGACCAGCACGACCTCCTCAGGGGTCTGGGTCCCAGCTTCAACACAGGAGTTCCCCCAATCGCCCTTACCCCCTCCTACCTCCGAGGTCTGGGTTTCAGCTCCTTGGGGCCCTTCCTCTCAGTATCTAAATTGGAATTCCATCCTCCTCCCTCGAGGTGGTGGCTGTTTCCTGCAGGCTCTCCTCCAGAACACCTTAAAGATATCTTTTCACACACTTCAGTCACGTAGTTTATGTTCTTTATATAAGGATATACAATTCCGTATATCCCTTCCAGTACCTAGTTAACACTCTTTTTTGTAAAGTTCTCTGTATTAAAGTAACTTGAGGATGTGCTGTCACAGAAGCCTTTAGAAAAATAAAAGTTTCAACAAGAGATGTCAAATAAGAAAGGGCCAAATAATTGATTCATTTGATGCAGCAAGAAGGTTTTAGTGACAATGATGTCTGTGGACAGGTGGGGTTGGGAGCCCAGTGGACAGGACAAAGAGTGGCTTGATTCCCAATACACTGTGGGCACTGAGTTTATAAGGAAACTTGTGAGACTGAATTTACGGAATTTATGAAATGACTCCAGTGTTCTTGGCCTAAGGAAATGGTAGATGGGGGTGCCATTTATTAGACTGATGAATTTGGAAGCCATAGGAGTTGGTTAAGGAGGGAAGGGAGGTAAGCAATAGAAATGCCTAACGTGGTTAATTCTCTAAGCATTTTTGCAGTGAATGAGGCCACTGATGATTTAATTTTCTCAAGATCAGAGCTGTGCAGATGTGTGTAGAGACTGATGGAGGCAGACAGAGATGATACCAGGGAGAGGAGTGTGGTAGAGAGAGTGAAGTTCTTGGGTAAAGAACAGGTGGGATCCAGAGCACAAGGGAGGGATTGGTCTTTGAATAGAACCAGGGGCATTGCTCCCAGTTGTCAAAGGAAGGAGGCCGAATGTTTGAATTCGGTTGCAGGGAGGTTGGGGGATTTGGTGTTGGGAAAACAAGGTGATTTTTTTATTACTTCATCGTTTATCAAGATTACAAAACAACAAAACAACACAACAACAACAACAAATTTATGGCAAGAGAGTCTCCAAATAATTTACATTGCAAAAAGACTATTGTCATGCATAGCATAACCAGGAAAGCACTTTTGATTTCCAGTGATCATAGAAATCACTATCAAGGATGCTCAACCTGAAGAATAAAGATATAGGACTCACATATTCCGGAAGTGATGCGAATACCCATAATTACCACGATAAATTTGCAGAGTACTAAAAATAATTCTGTATTTTCCTGTAGGATTTGCAAGCTAATAATAAGCAATTTCCAGCTGTGTGCTGTAACAGCAAAAAAGAGGGTCTAACATCCTTATAATTATATTTTTCATATCCGTATTCACATTAGAAAATACTGATTAAGACCCATCTGCTTAAACAATTTTTTCGTTGTTAACGTCTGTAGTAGGTGACTTTTATGAAATCTATACAACTATATTGTATACATTGGACTTCAAAAGGAGGATTATCAAATAATTTACCCTTAAGGCTTCTCTCTCTCTCTCTCTCTTTCACACACACACACACACACACACACACACACACAAATGCATGGCATGATTATGAAACAAAAGGACTAACAACAGTGGGAACTGAAATTTTCCTTTAGCGCAGATTCCACAAACACATCCCGAGAGCTCCCCTCAATTGGGCAGCTAAAGCCGCCCTGAACAGCAGGTTCCACCACATGAAATGCGGAGCCTTCTCGCTTCATTCTGCTTGACAAAATGAGTGTGATTGTTTGAGAACAACTAAATCAAATACCTATTTCTGGGGTCTATTTTCTCCAACTTCAAATGTTCTTCTGAGCGTTTGAAATGTCACCACCCAAAGAAAGGAGATAACTCTTTGGTCATGAATTCACAGTTACTTCCTGGAGGTATTGTGAAAAAAGAATTACTCCTCAGGACAAGTTGATAAGTTTAGCTTGCTGCTGGATGGACCCACACCTCCTCAGGGCTCCTCAGGTTTCCCATAACTCATTTCAAAGCCCGCAGTGCTGTGGTTCTGGTCCAGGCGGACAAGATGCTGCTGCAATATGCACCACTACCTCCATCCCCCCACTTTCCCCCAACACCGAACAATCCAGATAAAGGTAAATATCTACCCTCCTCACCCCCTGAGTTGAATATGGACAAATTCCCTCAAAAATATGAAGATGGGTTTAATAAAACCAGTTCAAAATATATTTGATGACTGGCCTGAATCAACATTACTTTCAAATAAAGTTTCCTAAAATTTAGCAGGAAAGCAGCAATTCAAATGGAAAACCATGACTAGCGTTATGTCTGTCTGTCTATCTATCTAATTATCTATATATCCACTAGGTAGCTAAAGCCAGGTGTCTTACTGCCAGGAATCAGATTGATGCTATTTTGTTTTTGTTCTTTTCCTTTTTAATTTTGATTTTTCACCGAAGTATAAAATACATACAAAAGGGTGCATATGCATGAGTGTATAGTTCAATGAATTTTATGAACCTGAACACACCTGTGTAACGCAGGAAAAGAACATTATTCGTACTCTAGAAGCCCCTGTGCCTTCTTCTAGTCACTACCCTCCTGAAGATAACCTCCATCTTGACGTCTAATGGCACAGAACAGTTTTCCCGTTGTTACACTATATAGAAATGGACTCTCCCTATGTGCATTCTTTGGTGTCTGGCATTTATCTGGTCTCTTAACTATAACCAGAAGTCACTACAATTTATTGAGCTCTTGTTTACTATGTGCAAGGCACTGTGAAAAGCCCTTTCTTGCATCATTATCACATTCAGTCCTCACACTCACCCTGTGATTAGGCATTAACATTATCTCCCGTAAGCAGGTGAAGAAACTTCAGGCTTCGGGATATTAATATATACTAAGTCACCCAGCAGTAAATGCTAGCACGAGGATTCATGCTTTGTTTATCTGGCTCCAAAGTATAAATAAGTCTTTCCCATGCACACTTTCAGAAATGTACACAAGGCCAAATGTTCCTGATTACCAGGATCTGAGAGCTCAGGACACGGTCATTTGAATGTAGCATCTTACTTATTTAACTGCAATTATGCACTCATTTCTCTAACTTGGATCTCACATTTCACATGAATGGTGGCTACTTTCCTGGCAATGTAACTTGATGTCAGGTAAACTGCAAAATGACATGCATGAGGTTCAAGCATCTTCTATTAACTGAAAGTAAAGCAAATTTGCCTAAAGATATATTCCTTAGAGAGAGAAGCTATATTGCTCAGTGCTCTGCTCATCAAGCAGTTGTTAATTTCTAAGTGTAGCTGTAAACTTACCATCAGTAATAATTCAAATGTTGCTTATATTCAGGGCAGGATAGGTCATAATGAACAATGAAAAGGAAATGATAAAATGAATAATAGCTATCCTATGGGATTCTAAATGGCCATGAGGAAAAAACAATGAGGGGGACTTCCAGGTATTATTGTAGGAAGATGTTATACAAAAGAATTGCAAGGTATAAGCTTATTTATGAATATGAGTCTATATTCATATCTTATGGTTATATGGGTTCACATGTGACAGGAAGTCTAGAGGGAAACACATAAACATGAACTCACACATAGGCATGCACAAACTCAAAGAAAAGAAAAATGAGAAAGTTGAAAACGATATGCCTCAAGATATTACAAATTGTTGTTTTTGTAACCATTTATAAAAAAGAAAGGAAGGAAAAGAAAAAAAGAAAGGAAGAAAGGAAGAAAGGAAGGAAGGAAGAAAGAAAGAAAAGGAAGAAAAGAAAGGAGGAAAGAAAGAAAGAGGAAGGGAGAAAGGAAAGAAGGAAGGGAGGAAGAGAAAGAAAGAAAGAGGAGGGAGGGAAGGAGGAAGGAAAACTTAGGGGATTTGTACTGGCAGAATATATAATAATATAAAAGAATTTTTAATGTTTTTCATCTGTGATCATAGCAT